CGCCTGTGCCTCACTAAGAATGTGATTTAATTTACTAGAACTACTTTCAACTGAAGCAGAAAAAGACATGGCAGCAGCAGCAGCCCGAAAGACAGCACATTTAGTAGTGGGCTTGCTTGATGATGCCCCTTTATGACCATACATTCGAGCAAAAATGAATAACTAGAGACCTCAGTGATGGATTTAGATGCATGGGAGAAACTTACCTTTCTTTTCCCTTTCTGTTTTGACTTCAGCCTACCAGAAATATTGACATTACAACCTTTATGCTCTGTTTGCCCCATACATAAACTGGGCCTTGTATCTTCCCAGATAGAATTAGTATTTAGATTTGAATTTGGGCCTCTCATCCCAACACCTACACTGTTCTTTACCACAGGGTTTTGAACAAGGCCCAAATTTACTTCCAAGTTAATACCAGGCCCATGTCCAGCTGACCCACTCATAGATTGAATAAATCCGAGTGTAGCTATCTGCTCCTCCACACGTAGATTATCATCATTATCCTGTAGGCTACCCTCTGCCACCGCCATCTTCATACGCTCCTCAACCACCAAGTTGTCCCCTACGCCACTTACTGTCTCCTCTACCACTATGTCTACCTGTTTGTTTACAAGAGCAACATCATCGTCTTCATCTTCCACAGCCAGATTAACATCAAATTGATCACCAACATCAACCCCAACAGATTGATGCTGAACCACCACGTTTGAATTCAGATCCTCCCTCACCTCACTGGACATAATGCTATCACAAACAACTAAAGTATGCGGTTGTTCTTCGCAGACCAAGACTGAGTGAAATCGTCCTTTACATCCCAACTTTATCGTTTGATTTATATACTCCATATAATGCGTTGCAACTCTAATTCTTCCATGACTAAAGGACTGTGGTTGATTGATATTCCCATCCAAACTAAGCACACTACCCCATATACCCCCAATCTTGTTGAAGATGTTTCTATTCCACATACTCAGAGGAATACCATAGCACCTGAGCCACAGACACCTCTCTTGCTCTGGATATACACCTGGTTCCCACAGTTTGACATCTTCGCACCATTCCTGGAACCATTCTTTGATCAATACAAACTGTGACAGCATAACCTCTTTTGATGGGAAAGTCAATATAGCAATCCTACCACCCACATTTCTAACCATCACATGCCCCATTTCTTTCTCTTTTAGCACCATCGCAATACCCTGCCTTGAGAACTCCGATTTGAACTTTAGCAACACACTATCATACAACCAGCCATGCCCTTCTTCATTTACCGAAATCGTATATCCTTCCTTACCTCCCTGTCCCTTAACTCCTGCTGTTACCACATCAGCGAAAGATCTTTGAAAACCCAACTGATCACCATTATACCTTCCTTCAGCGGCCTTATCACCATTACTCCTTCCAACCTGATCTCTTCTCCCCAATCTATTTTCACTACGATCATACTCAGCTAATTTGACTTTAAGCTCCTTATCCCCCATCCACAAACCATCGGTTTTCTGTACAGCCACATTTGCTGCTACTGAACAATCAAATCTAACAAAACCAAATCGAGTATTGGTATTTCTCCTTCGCTTTTGAGGTATGAACACATCCTTCACTAGTCCAAACTTGGAGAATAGATGAAACAATGATTTCGGATCCATAGAAGAAGGGATGTTATCCACAAAAACAGAGATTAAGCCCTTACTTCCCTTGTTACTCCATACTCCACTCCTTTTCCTTTGCTTTACTATTGGAATCCACCCTTCGTTTTCCATCTTCTCCGATGAGCCAAATTTTTATGCCAAATTGCAGTAATCCAGGTTTCTCTTTGGCACCTATGTTCCTCTCAACCTGATCTCAAATTTTATCATCAATAAAGTTTCTTCTTTTGCGGATCAAAAAAAAAACAAAAACTCGTTCTCACTCTATCGTTGCTCTCTATGCTCTCTTATTTCTCCTCTTACCTTCGCTCCCTTTACTATCTTTCCATCCACTGGCGTTGTCCGACCATTGTTCATAGATCACCAATCCAGATCTGGACCGTCTTTCATCATTTACCATTCCAAATCACCATTCATGTCTCCAACATCATTGTCTATGCCTCACCCATTCAGATCTCTATTGTCGTTCAACATTTATCAATTTAACCAATGCAATAAAAGTAGAATGATAAAACATTCACACATCACCAACCCAACATTTGTTGTTCTTTTACATCATTGTGTTCTCTCTCTCTCTCTCTCTCTCTCTCTCATATGTATGTGAATTAATAAATATTTGGTTGTGTTGGTTGATCTGCATGTTTTTTCTTAGAATGATTTGTTTTATGATTTTTTGCTAGAATTGATCTTTGAAATTTCGCTAACCTTGTGCAATTATAATGGCTTTGTTCACTAAAATTTTACTTTTAGATTAAGTTAGAGAAATTTCATTTACTACTGACTTAGAATTGTGAAACTTTACTTGGTTGGAGAGTCATTATTGATAGTTGGAAAATTTGTCAATAAAATTTCACTTCACTAGGCACTCACCCAAATAATCACTGAAAAATAGTTACTAGCAATCGGCAATAGTCACCGAAAATTGTCAACGATGCACGGAGATAGTGGTACAGCACTAAGGATATTTTTCAAAAAAAAAAACCTTTGCATCTTTAAAATAGTAAATATATTTTAGTTGTTCTTAAATTAAATAGATATATTGACCAAGGATATGAAAAAAACAAAAGCAAAAACAAAAAAAAGATAAGAAGAGGAAAAGATAAAAGTATATACATTAATTACACTCCAATCATGCACTTGATTTGGTAGGTATTTTTGCCTCTTTTTTATTTTTTATTTTTTTTTATTTTTTAACGGCTATATTAAATTGAGGCAACCATTAAGCTTGAGGAACAATGTTGCATTGTTTACACAAGAAAAATAAATATTTAAATAACAGACTTTGTTTTTGTCACCTTAACGGCCTCAGTTGGGACACATACAAATTTCATGAACACATCTCTCTTTTCAATCGCCAATAGTGCCAACTTCTTTCGTATCTACTTTTTATAGTCGGATCTTATTTCTTTATCAACAATGTTTGATAGCTTGAAATACTATGACTTAAATAACTTGAATATCTTTAAACGTTGTCGTTTTGGGGGTAAAACGATATTGCTTTGGAGGTAAAACGACATCGTTTTAATATATTTGAGCTATTCGGGTCACACAATTTCGAGCTATCAAGTATTTTTGTTTCTTTATTCAACAAAATTAATTGGAGAAAAACAATTAGTCAATTCAGTAGAATACAAATTTTGTTAATTTCCAAATTATGAATATGAAAAAACGCCAAGTTCATAATTAATTTAGGTAACCATTAAATTTACCCTATCAATTCACACAAATTTCACCAACTGAATAAAAAATTGACTAACCAACTGAATAAAAAATTGACAAATATTTATTAGTCCAAATAATTTTTTGTGGTCTGAGCCTATATAGACTTTTTGTTTTTTTGGTGAATAAGTCATAAAGAAAAACGGAAGAATAAACAAGATTTATAAGGGGTATGCCCAGCCCCTATATAGACAGTATTTATAAATGAGTAAAGAACATAACTAATTGTAATTTTTGTCCGCCATTGTGATTTCCTCACTCTCTCTCTCTCTCTCTCTCTACCATTGCGGTTCAATACAGAACTGCTTCTTCGTTCAATTCAAGTTATACATCTTACCTCATTGTCATTGCCCTTGTCTCCCTCTCTTCACCTCTACAGTTCAGTGCAAGAGGCTTCTTGGTTCAATTCAAGTTATGGGTAAATTAAAATGAGCTAATGCAATATCTATTATCATGATTATCTGAATCCCGATTCAGATCATAAAATTTTACGATCCTACGATCTTAGTTGGGTCAACCGATTCGAATCACACTAGGATCTTAAATTTAATAAGATCTTAAAGCCACTACGATCCTAGTCATAAAATGATTTAGAATCGCATATGATCACTACAAGAAAATGCATTTTTACCGACCACTTTTAGCTACCAAAACTAATTTAGTTGCCAAAAGTCACGGAATTGGCTACCAAAAATAATATTAGTCGGCAAAACTCAACTTTTTAGCTACTAATTTTTTTTAGTAGGGGAATGTTGATTATTGGCTACTAAAAAAAATTTAGTAGCTAAAGATATTACAATTGGTGACTAAAACAATTTTTAGTAGCTAAACATATGACAATTGGCGACTAAATAAAAATTTAGTAGCCGTAAAGGTACCTTTAGCTACTAAATTGTTTCGTAGCCAAATGAAAATTAAAAAATTAATTTTTAATCTTTCCCGACCAAACTTTTGGTCGCCAAATGTCAAGTTTCGGCGACAAAATTTCTTTTAGTTGCTGTATACCTACTTTTGGCTACTAAATAGTTTGGTAGCCGAATGAAAATAAAAAAATTATAAAATACCTTTGGCGACCAAAATTTTGGTCGCCAAAAACGAGGGATTCACCGACTAAATTACTTTTTAGTCACCAAAGGCCTACTTTTGGCTACTAAATATTTTGGTAGCCGAATGAAAATAAAAAAATTATAAAATACCTTTGGCGACCAAAATTTTGGTCGCCAAAAACAGTGGATTCACCGACTAAATTACTTTTTAGTCGCCAAAGGCCTACTTTTGGCTACTAAATATTTTGGTAGCCGAATGAAAATAAAAAAATTATAAAATACCTTTGGTGACCAAAATTTTGGTCGCCAAAAACAGGGGATTCACTGACTAAATTACTTTTTAGTCGCCAAAGGCCTACTTTTGGCTACTAAATATTTTGGTAGCCGATTGTTTAATAATGGTAAAGTGTTCCTTTAGGTAATGGTAATTTCTGTAGGGTTGTAATGAAAAATTAATATTATTAAAATGTAATGAATGTTTTTAATATGTAATAATTTATCATTTAAATAATTTTTTCAATTTTTCAACATCATTATCAAAATGAGGGCTAAGTGTGTAAAATGTAAGATAATAATAGGGTTGCCCCTTTTTTCTTTTATTTATTATCATAAAATGATTAATAATAAAATCACATGGATTCTTGATCTTGTCTTGAGTTGGTTTAAGGTTCTGAGCCTTCTGGTATGATAACTTGAGGATTTTGTCATTAGGCTTGGGTGGGAAGTGCAGAATCACATTTCCAAAGTGGGAGGGTCACTTAGTATGATGAATCCTGCAATTAAGCTCTTTAAGTAGTGAGCTCTAGTGGTACTAATTGTCAGCAGTTTTTGAGCACGTTGCTACAAGTGGTTCAAAAGCTGGTCAGCTTTCTCTACTGCCACTTTATATCGAGATGTGTCTGACATGCCAGGTTTGGATGATGAGTGCATTTATTTTTTCTTACTACATGGAGTGACATCTCACGACTCCTAGATTACTTGAATCTTAATCATCTGCATTACCTCACCAACTAGCTCGTTCTGGTATTGCTGGCCCTGAGATGATCTTAAGGTTGTGCAAGGAACAGTCTTTCAAAAATTGGGAATGCAGTTTGTCAACAATGTCTTGTTTCATGTTTTAGTATATTCTATATATTTAATTTTTAAATTAATTTCAACTGAAATCTACTAAGATTGGCAAGTGTAATACTATTCTCTTTGTATTTGATAGGAACTTACTTGTTACCAGCTACTTCAAGGACTGGTTCGAAGAAAGAACACTTGTGTACACCTTGTTGCATTGGTGAGTTGTACTCACACTGATGTTTGAATTTTAATGAAACATATTGGGATTCATCTGCATTCTTTTGCTCACACAAAAATATTTGTTTTGGCTGTTATTTTCTTATATTTCACACGTATGACTGCAAAAACCTTCATATTGATGGATACATGCATCTTTCTTCTAATGGAGTATCTTTAGTGATTTCGTAAGAAAAATCCATATCCACAATCGAATTTCAGATTTATGTAATGAATGTCACTTGAATCAATTTGCTTCCATTTATTCTGCAGGACTCATGGCGTGACCTAGCAAATGCTTTTGCAAATGAAAGAACTTTGTTTTCATTAAATGCTGCTCATCAAGTAAGAATTATAAATACTTGGATCCAATGATCTGCCATTACATTCGCTGTTCAATAACTAGACTATTTCTTGCAGCGTTCACTAGCTCAAACCCTAACTCTTTCAGCTTCTGGCATGGGCAACTCAGAGGCTTCAAATCAGTGAGTCTATTTTTAGGTCTGATGTCTGCAGAAAATATTTATATACTGCCATCAGGTCTGATGCCCAGTTACAAATTGTTACAGGTATGTACGAGACCTCATGGGTTATATGACATCTTATCTAGTGGAGATGTCTGGCAAGAGTGATCTAAAAAATGTTGCCCAACAGCCAGATGTTATGTTGTCGGTAAGGACAGAATTTCGATAATATAAAGCCAATTTTCAATTTCTATGCGCAAGTTACTCTTGAATTGAAGATCAGTTCTAAAACGTGATGGATGTCCTGTAGGTAAGTTGCTTGTTGGAGCGACTACGTGGAGCTGCCAGTGCTTCAGAACCTCGAACACAGAAGGCAATCTATGAGATGGGATTCTCTGTAATGAACCCTATTCTGATTCTTCTGGAAGTGTACAAACATGAGGTAGTAAATGTTTTCAGTATCTGAACATTCTATTTTCATAACAAGCCTATTTTTGGAGCATGATTTTAAATTTCCTTGTACTTCCACTTTTTACTTGTGAGTAATAAAGTTTAATATGCTGCTGGTGTCTAAACTGGTATATATGTCCTGAAGTTATATATCCTTATAACTTCCATTAACATGTATGAATTCATTCATTGGATGAACCATCCAATGTTTACCCCATCTTGTTCCTTGAGTAGGACCAACAGTAATTTTCCTCTTTTGTTTACCTGGGGAGTGGCTGTGGGGGTGGAAATTTTTTATTTAAGCAAAGCTCTCTACCTTTTCTGTTCCCCTCTGGGGCGGAGGCAGAGAGGGTTTTAGTCGAGAGGCTGTGATTGCTTACCAAAGAGGTGGTCAGATAAGTATCCAAAAAGTATTTGATACTAATTCAAAATTAAAGAAAATTACTTTCTATTGGTGGATGCGCTTAAGTATTTGATATGTATCTGCAAGACTGCAAATATCAAAGCAGTATTGGTATTAGATATTTGTGCAATGCGGATACCACTCCCTTGTAGAAGTGTATTCGTTCTTCATATGCCAGCAGGGCAGTTGTATGATTTGAGCATTGTAATGCTCATAATGTCTTCGGCCTTCCCTAGAGGTATATAGGACTTCTTTCATGATTGATGGGCTGGTTGGGTAGGAAAGAACAGTAGGAGAGTGTGGCTCTTGACCCCTTTATGCCACTATGGATCATCTGGGGGGAGCGCAATAGGACTATTTGTGGAGTTGATGAGCCTATGTGTAGTCTAAAGAGTCATTTTTCTTTTGTTGATACTGTAGATTTGTAAGTGGTATATCTTTTTGTGGGGCCATTTGCACTCTTTGGTTAGTTTGTTTGATGTATAAAAGCAGTATGGTCTTGATGCTTTTTAAATACAGTAACTTATCAAAATATTTTCTTTGGGGCTGGGCCTTTGGGAGGTGGGGGAGGTGTTGTTGAAGTTTTCTATTGGCTTCTCAAAAAAAGCTTTGGATCTTTAATAAAAGAGGGTTTGTATGTAGAGAAAATAAGATTAAATTTTAGATTGAGCTATTGCTCTACCATAGCTTGAATTTTGAAGCATTGCAAACTTGGTTTTGAGGACTCAAATTTGTGGTGCCTTCTACCCTGCCCTCTCTACCACTGCATATCATGCTCGAGGCTAGGTATTTGCCCCTGATTTGTGTGCAGTCTAGATCTGGAAAATACCAGAGTAGAGTTTTTCCTTATATTATGAAGAAACTTGATCTCTGTGCCTTGCTACCTGTTCCATGTTAGAATCTTCTGTTTTGTTTTATTTTATACTTTTCCCTTGTACTTTTGGTGAACTCAATGATAATTAACTGCAAACTTCTGCCTGTAACATTTTAATATTCTTCAACTTTAATTTGAGTTGCATGGGACCTTAATAAACTATATAATGTCAAACTCGAAAGGATTCATAAATGTATGCTGATCCCAACCTACGATTTAGTCTGCAGTTGTCTATTTGCTACTTAAATTTGATGTTGACTGGGTGGACGGACAAATTATCTACCTAGAGGCTCAAGAAACTGCTGTTATTGTTAACTTTTGTATGCGTTTGCTTCAGCTTTACTCTTCTCACAAGAAACTGCTGTGAATGATTCATTCAAGTGATGATTATGCCTAATTTTGTGAGTTTGTTCTTCTTTTGAATTTGGGAAAACTACTACATGAATCGATTTGGATTTGAAATTTTATTTCTTTATTTCTCAAGTATATTCGTTATAGAATATGATTAGTCAACATTCAATTCGTGATTAATAGGTATAAACTTCACTAAAATTGTAAACAGTTTTGGGAGTTTGAGTGCTTTGGCTCTGAAATGGAGGTCCTTGGAGTGCTTTAACTTGAACTACCTGACATATTATTTCTTTCCTTTCCATTGCACCTGTGTTACATGGACCATTATCCCTTGGTGGACAGGTATATATATATATATATATGTCTACTGTGTTGCTCTTATATAATAACCTTGGTGGACAGGGTGTTTGATGAAATGCCTCAAAGAAGAATTCATCTTAATTGCAAATCAACTTTACATAGTGTTAGTATGATTTGACATCAAACCTTCCAGACTAGAGTCAGTCCATTAGATCATGTCAAATATTTGGGACACTAAACAAGCTTAGTTATAGATTAATTGAGAGAGAGAGAGAGAGAGCATGACTTCAAACTTGGTCTTTTGTTTTAATTAATGTTTTTAGAGTCTGCTTTTAGGTTTCCATATATTCTTGGATTTTTTGCATTTATGATTGTCATTATGTTGCTATGCCTCCATGGTTATTTGCATTATTTTGAAATGTATTTACTTCGCTGAATTGTTATGCTCATGGGTCATGGCATTGGTATAGTTATTTTGAATTGCTTTGTATAATCTCTTTCATGGTTAGTCAATTATTGTTATTATTATTATTTGTAGTTCATTTGCATCTATTCAGGTTTTCCTTAATTTCTTTTCCCCTGTCTTTCATTTGCATCTGTGATTAATGACCTTAATAAATAAAGGTTCCAATTTAATTGCATCTGTTATCAACAATGTTTGGATGAGGACAACTGAATGTCTCAGTATATTAATGTTGCAACTTGTTTATTTTGTTTTTAGGAGTATGAATTAGATGGAATTGATTGGACAAAAGTAGATTTTGAAGACAACCAAGAGTGTTTAACCATATTTGCTAGGGTCTGATTCGATTTTGTAATGGGTTATTGGCATTGTGCAGGGATGCATATTTACTTTGAAAGGATTGGGTATACTTATTTAATTTTGTATTTTGGATTTTCTATTTCTATCTTAGTAAGGTCATATAAATAAAGTCTGAATAGTTAGTTACCTGGGTTATGTCTAATTGTGTTGAAAATTGGCAAATTAACCAGTTCCGGACGGTGGTTATCAAGTTTTAAAAGGGTTGTACTTTCATCATAAAATTGGGGTAGGTAAGATATTTACAACCATTTAGTGATTGTTGACGAGTGCCCTTATACATATTAGAGCAGTTGCAAGATAGAGATATTTATTTTCTCTTTGACAAATAAAAGTCTATTATTAACAAAGAAGAATACAATGAAAAAGAATCAATAGAAAACCCAAACCTAAGCACGAAGAGTATGTAAAAATCCACAAAAGCAAGCAAATCTAGGACACTCTCCCCAAAACCAACTGTACAAAATCACCAAAATCCGATCCTTCATTCGAGCCACCAATTCATTCACCCCCTAAAAAATATGCCAATTACGCTATGACCAAATCATCCACGTCAAACACAGAGGTGCCAAAGCCTACATCTTCCTAAGCCTCTGGCCTCCAGCTGTGAAAAACACCCTCGACACTTCCTTGTTGCACCCAAACCATTTTAAACATAGAAAAAATCAACACTCAAAGTTGATATGCCACAGAACAATGAAGAAGAAGATGAGACAAGGACTCCGCAACCCCACGATACATACAACACTAATTGACCATAATCTGCCGCTGCCAAATAAGATTATCAATTGTGAGAATCCTATCTAACTCTTCCGTTCACGCAAAGAAATTATACTTAGGAGGGGCCAAGGTAGAAATTTCACTCTCTCTTTGTTCTTTCTATATACATATATACTGGTACTGCTCTCTCTCTCTCTATATATATCTATAGTGTTGATTCATTCAATATCTTATATATCCTGTTCATATCTTGATTCATTCAATTTATAATGTTGAAAACACAATAAATAGGGGACATTAATTTTGTTAGTTTTTTTTTTTT